CGGGGAGCAAGTTGACCTGTGCCTATGTTGTCAGTTTTCAGCATGATTGAAACACAAGTTGCAACAAGGCCAGTGGTTGCATCCGAAGGTATTTAAATGCTGGTCTTGCATGTAAATCTTAATACTGCTATCTCATCATCTCAGGTACTCTCTCTCCTGGTTTGCATGGGATGAATGTAATTTTAGGATTATTAGCACTCCTTACCCAGGACTTCAGAGAGATCGCAGTGTGTACATAAAAACAGAAAGCAGAAAAACACACTTTCAGGTTTAATTTTCAGTTTCTAATCTCTTAGATGTTTCTTGGAATTATGAAGAGGTGATGTCAAAATTGAAAATCTTAATAAGCAGGAATACTTAGCACCTGCAGACTTCAGGCTTGATTTTGCAGTACATTTCACTATAGTGTCAGTAATAAGAAGTGATTATAAAGACAATAATTTCCTTTTCATTTAACTTCTTCTTTTCCTCCTCCACCCCCCTACTTTTGGACCTCAGTCAAGCAAGCGATGATGCCCTACTCAGTTTCTGACTTCAGTTCAGTTGTCCTGCCAAATTGTTTCTGTGCTTTAGTGCTGTGTGTTATAGAAAAGCCTTCTGCTGCTTGGTAAAAACATTTTTGCTAAAACTAGAAATATCTCAGAGTACCAATTAAAAGTGTTTTGTGGGGTGGTTTTTTTTCTGCTTTTGTTTGATGGTGTTGCTTTTTCATGTTAATAGCCTGTAATAGTTTATTTTGTGCTGAATTTCATTAAGCTTAAAAATCAGTTCCTTGAAATACCCACATGTAGGTTTTGAAAGTTTTCAGTAAAGTCTGAAGGCTTGGATTTATGAATATGTTTGAAAGAATTGAATGCTGTGATGTGCCTGTTTAATCAGATGATCATTGCCTAATTGATTTTTTTAGTATGCATTAAAATTCTTTGTGTACTTGATGGACTGGAACAACAACTTATTGTGTAAATAGGATTGTGTTGCTATAATGCATAGTAAATTCTTTATGAAAGATAGTTGTGTGGATACGTACAATAGCCATTCCTAATAGCTGTTCAAAATGGACTGTTTCAGTACTGATCATGCAGTTGTCTTAGTGCCTTGAGCCTGCTTACAGTAAGTCAGTTATGAGGCTTGAGCCTCCATCTATTCTTTCTCTTTTTTTTGCTATAGAAATACTGTAAGATGAAAGGCTGTTAATCACTTGTCCCTTTAACTTTTTTTATATACATATATTTTTGTTTTGCAGAATTAAAAAAATAAGCGTTTTCAGTGTCCTCATAGTTTTAAGAGTGGAATTGTAAATATTCAGAGAAACACTCTTTTCTCCCTTTCCCACCTCCCTCCTTTTTTTAATGTACAGATTTTTTTGAGGATTAAGGAAAAAAAAGCTGCTTTTTTTTTGTCTTATGTGGTGGGTTTCAACTTGGAGTAACTTTTTGTTAAAGGGATGGAGAGTTATAAAACCTCTGGGAATGTGCAGCAAGGATTTTTTTTGTAATGGAAACTGCAAGTCAACCAGAACTATAGC